AGAGCCGACACCGGAATCACAGGTTCAGCAATACATTCCTCTGCGGTATAGGAATCGTGTGTTCATTCAGCAGAAGCCGCCCAACAAATCCCGATTCCGACGAATACGTCTGGACTGTAATGAACTCAATAATTGTACTCATTATAAGAAGATATTTATTTTGTTGTCATCTCTTGTGATCATTGTTTTGATCCTTGGTATCGGTTGTTATGACAAGAGTGCAGAGAATGTCAATAATGATAGGAATCAAACCCAAACCCAAACCCAAACCACAACTCAAATGACAAATGAAACGCAAACCGAAACTACAATCCAAACCAAAATTGATAGAAAGCCTGAATGCAAATCGCATTACTATTTCCTATTTGTGTGTATTATAGCGATTAGTGTCGAGATATTCACACTTTTGTTGTATTTGTTTCACTTAATCGAAACGTTTTATAAGATTCCGTGGCTTCTCATCGAAACAGTGTATTACACGGCATGGAGTCTACAGTTTCTGGTCATAGGCTTCTGGATGTCATCCGTCGGCAAATGGTTTATATTGACATCGATTCTGAGCTTTTGTTCATCATTTTTGTGCTTTATTTTGGCTATAATTAAATGCAAAAAGTATACGTCAGGAGAGGCGGCACAGGCCAACGATCGCGACCCCGACGGCAATCGGCAACGAAGAGATTCACCAAATTATAAGTTCACTAAATCTAAAGACAAATTGAAAGACAAATTAGACCCCGAAAAGTCTGAAGATGTATTCTGAAGACTAATAATGAATTTTGTTTTTACATATTTAAGTGAATGTATGTTTAATTTAATTCATTAAATATTAAATTTAATTAAAATACCATGAATTATCTATTGTATTGGAAATGTTTAGCTCATTTCATAATTATTGTGTTATTGTACTGTATTATACGATATAAACTATTAATTCATAATTTTATTTATAGAATAGTATTTTATAAATAGATGTGAAAAGAAGTTGCAATCGATATGTTGTTCATAATAGCTATGGAATGGGTTTTCTCTTTCCGTGTGATTCTTGAATTAACATTATTTTGTCCACAATTTTTCCATTCTATACATTGAAAGTAATGTTAAATTAGTTCGAGTTATAGTTATTCAGTAGAGTTATCGAAATCTGTATTTAAAACTTGTTTCAAAACCATATAAATGTAATAAAATTGTAAATCTCTTATTCAATTAAAAACTATACAATAGTAATGAACGTCATTGACAATGAAAAATAATGTCAATCATCCCTCAAAGAACTGTGATTATGGCAAACCTGATCGTCAGATATCTGTTCCAGTGATAGATGTGAAGCGTTTAATATATGAAGTCTTGTGTAACCGTAATCTGAGTTACGAACGGCACTCCACGGCGGAGGGTTGGGTACGAACGGGTCGTGTCTTTCCTTACATCCCTATCAATACACCAAAAAGTACTGTATAATAGATAATATGTTATAATGATATGGATTACAGCGGATCCGGTGATTATATGGACGGGCGCTGAGGGGTTAGTGTATGGTTGAGATAGACTGGCGTTATAAACGGTGCGGTTATATAAGGGCCACATTCTCTCGTAGACGTGTTCGTGTGCCCATAACTCCACGTCTACTCCATATTCATAAAACACATCCTCTAATCCAAGTGTCCGCACAATTGGCAGTCCTTTCCTAATCTTATAATTTTAAATACAATTTTATTTAGTTTTTAACTTCAATAAGGATTCCGCAAACTTACAATACTTTCTTTGTGAGTGCAATCATCCCTTTATGGTATTTAAAAAGTTAATAACTTATTAATTTAATAATCTAACTTGTAAGTTATCAAATTGTAATAATTGCCTTGTGCAATTGACGCAGCACAATAAAATGATAATACACTTTAGCACAAATAATCGCCAATTCCTACCTGTCGTCAGTACTGCAATACATGGGTCGGTGGCCTAATGTGATAATCCATGGCCTCAACGCTCTGTTCTTAGGTTTATTAGCCTCTTGTAAGTCATTGATGAGCCAATAGTACTGTCGGACTAATTGTTTCCATCCGTATTGAAGAAAATAGTAGTATTCCGTAGAGAATGCGATGACATGTGCGGGTCCTATATTGAAGCTATAGTAGTGGTTATTCATTAAACCACTTCCACTGTTAACCATTGAGAATCGGTTGTCATAATTGGAAAAATTGCTGTCAATTAAGATATTAAACACATCATATACTTGAGAAGTGGGTAACAATTTAGTGTAAACTAGTATTCTCACTATTTATATTCATGATTTCCGGGGCACACCTGATATGGCACATACGCCGCTATCGACTCAATTTGTCTCATAAATTCGTCGCCAACTCTCGCGTTATCCTTATATCAAACATAGATCTCATTTGTTTTCATTTCCCGTGCAATTAATTAATGACTTACAGAATCCATATCATATGCAAAATCACCTGTAAATATAAAATTACATCAAAATATGTTAACAAAACTCATTTGACTATTGAGGACCGATATGAAAGATGCTGTCGTATAGCCCTCGCTGTACATCTTCTTGCAATCTGGGAATCGACTGCGAGTTTTCATTTCCCAAATCACCGAAAACAGCGATTCTTGGACTCCAATCGCTGCCATTCTTCGTGGCGTTGAACTTAAATAGAGGACTCCAGCCATCAGTGCTTCCGCAGTGATAGACTGGGTATTGATTTTTAAGAATACCATAACTTATCACAATTACAAGACATACTGTATTGGTCTCCGGGTGTAAGTTGTGTTAACATAACTCTATGAATAAATATTTGTCGGCTTTCATTACCGCCATCGATAAATGAAGCGCTCAGTCCAGTGAGAGTCTGATCCAAAGAATTCTTCCCAAACTCAACAGTTGATGTATTGGTGGCGTTGAATGTGGTCCACGTGACCATCATTTGTGTCGAATCGGCTTAAGAGATAATCATAGGCTCTATATTATACATTTTTATTAAGATGAAATACTTGAATACCTCCATATGAGAGGTGAATTTGTTCGGGTTGTGTCCGCACAGGCCCTCGTACTTCAGCTCCAGTGATGTATAAGATATAAATAATGATCAAAAGGACTGGCAATAAACCAAAAGACATTTTTTGATTACAACTCTAATTAATGTTAAAATAACAAAAACAAGCACTAAAAATATTTGTTGTCAAGTATTTTGGTACATTAAATGCGATTTGATTTGCTTTACATTGTATTAACGATTCACGCGTTAGTCAATGGATAAAATTGACGTTTCATTTATACATTTGACTGATATGTTTAGTTATCAGCAATAATCGATAAAATATGTACACAATTACCATTAGTTATCGTGAAATTTAAGTCCATTTTTGTTTGAAACTTGTCAACTATTTGGAATTAACAAATAGGAATATTATCATGGTCATTCTTCAGGGTCGAGTACCCGAACTGGTCAACATCATGGTGATTATTACATTAAATATAACAATGATAAATTAAACCAAAACATTAAGTTATTGTTTGCATAAAAGTTTTAAGTATTATTTTGATGTGTCATTTATTTTATCACTGATTGTTTGAACTAATATTTCACTCACAACTGTCTAAATACAGCGAAAAATTAATTAATGACAATACAAACTGATTCAAAACACTTGCAAACAAAATGTGTTATATTTTTACGAATTTATATCAACAATAAAAATGCTAATAAAATATAAGTGTATTAAATATTACAAAAGAATAATTATATACATATCCGGCCGACGGTTCACATGTTATAAGTTATACCACACCATTATTCCCATATCCTATTTATTCAAAATTATTTCTCCATTAACTTTGATCAAAACTAAATTTATATATCAAAAGACTTGAAAACATTTATTCAAAATCTAAATAACGATAGAATATTGAATACAAGATTATTTATTTGATGCAAAATGCCGTTATTTTGTGGACTATTTATTTGAGGAGTAATTCTTTGTGGTCGAGTATTGGTCGGCGGTCTTTGTAAAGGATTTGACGATTGATTTCCTAAAATATCATAATTTTGTATGACTTAATTTCACACTCATGTACTGTTTATACCCTTCCCGGTGTTCCCTGTATTGCCATTGTTATCGGGTTTTGTAATATTCACGGGTCCTGTAGTGTTCCCTGTGATCAGTGTTTCATTAGATCTATTACTAGTTGTCTCGTTATATCCGTATAAATTAAAAAATTTTGGACTACACGGCGGATGTAAATCCAGTACAAACTGACAGATATAGTACATCTCTGTATCGCAAGAATAGTCTTCCCATTGGCCTAAAAACATGGGATCGTCGATAACCATAAACACACAGTCTTCGCGATTCAAGTGATCGTTGGGCTGTCCCTTATGCCACCGGTTATAGTCCTTAATACTACAACCGCTCCGATACTGAAAGTCATTAACGCCTCCAAAGGGCACTCTCTTCGGGCCGATCCATAACTGAGGCTTATTGTGGTTATAACTGTCGTCATTGAAATCGTATTGTAGATGAAGACTCGCTTTGAAATTGAGAGAAACTTATTATAAATAATTTATTTAAAAGTTTATTAATTTTTCAAACCATTTGTCTCCTGCAACGCCTGAAAGACCATAAAGTTTTCGTTCAAAGTGTGAATTTCTAACAAATCAAATCCTCTGCCCATTTGTTGGCATCTTCTCTGTGCCTCATCTCTGGAGACCATTTCATAGAAGGGTTTAATACATTTCGTCTGATTTCCCCTCAAATGAATTGAAAATACTTTATATTCCTTCCAATGACGGGGACATACTTTCAAGAGTTTTTCAACAAAGTTTTTAAGTTAACATATTTTGCAAAGTTTTTGACACATAATTACTAAAAAGTTATAATAAATACCGATATCAGCAGAAATTGCTTGGAAAAGAATAGGAAATATTAATATTAAATACATTTTAATAGACTTAAAATAAAGTGAACTTTTTTCACAATAAATGTTTTTAAATAAAGAATATTACTTTCAGTATTGATAATTGTTTTGAGATTTTATGCATATTAATCATTAACAAAATGTGTGGGCTTTCATATAACATATTGTTAGCGGAATTAATAATATTAAATGGTTTGAGAACAAACATGATCAAAGTATCCGTTTTAAATTAAAAAATTTTCCTATCACGAATGTCCTATTGTACCAAATTTTTAGAACACAATAAATCAAACAGTAGCAGCACATTAGATATAAGTTATTTTTACTCTAGATACTTAAAAATAATTTTTATTTCCTAATGAATTGTGAAAATATCTAAAACTTGAGACTTTTTCCATAGACAGTATATATTTCAATTGATAGCTACTTTGTATTCATTTTTGTATTTCTTACAACATTTCTATGGATAATACCCATAAAATTATGGTAATTACATTTGATTGTAATTGTAATAAATCTTTGTAGTATTTGTTTTTTTATGTAATAAATTTAAATTCCTTATAAATTATATATTTAAATATTACACATAAATTATTAATTAAGACTAAATATTAAAATTCAAAATATTACCTTTTGGTAATTAAGCAAAACATCTGTAATAAGAAGTTTGTTGGCAGACAGACATTGGCTTTAAATGGAGACATTTTGATTGCTTTTTAAATCCATTTTATAAATAATTAAATAAAATTATTTTAAAATGGATTTACAAAATCAGTGGCATATTTATGCCCTGATTCCAGTGATTGCAATATTTTATTGGTAAATACTATCTCATATGTATATTTGAACTGAGAATAAAATGCTTTCATAAACAAACAAGGTATTTAACCCGAAACTTTGACCGGTGGTCAAAAATGGGAGTGAATGGCCCGAAGCCGTTGCCCGCGTTGGGCAATATCCTTATGCTGTACTTAAAGCCGTTCCCAATCGTGGAAATGGAGTTATTGGACAAATATGGAAAAACCTACGGGTATTTCATACATAGATTGTTATAAATGTTACCATTAATTCAATAGTAAATTAGTACATTATATACGCTTGTGTCTCATATGCCGGTCACGCTTTGATTGCAGGGCCTTCAATGGAAACATACCAGTGCTTACACTGAGTGACCCAACATTTATTAAGCTAATCCTAATTAAAGATTTTCACAATTTCACGAATCGCCGCAAATTCAATACCAAACACGAAATACTCGATTCCAATGTCTTGTACTCCAGGGATGAGAAGTGGAAGCGAATGCGATCCATATCTAGCCCTGTCTTCTCCAACATTAAGCTCAAGAAAGTGTATCCTTTGCTTATGGAATGCGTGAATGACTTTTTGGTCGTTTTGAGAGATTACACACAAAAGGGCGAAGAAATTGATTTGAAAGAATTGAGTGGAAATTTATCGATGGATGTGATCGCCAGGTGTGCCTTCGCCACCAAAATTAACTCATATCGAGATAATAACAATCCGTTTATCACAAGCGCTAAGAATATCTTCCATCCGACTGTCTTCAAGATCGGCGCCTCATTTCTCGCTCCGGAATCTCTTCTCAAATTCCTTAACATAACCTCTATTTTTGATGAAAAATCCAATGAATTCTTCTTTAATATCAGCAGAGAATTAATGAATAAAAGACGGATTAATAAAGAAAAGCACAACGATTTCCTCCAACTGTTGGTCGATACGGCTGATGGTGACAAAGAAGCCGACAAAAACCACAAACATAGTGCTCTCAAACAAGATATGACCCAAAATGCAAGTAAAGAATATTTTGAATGTTATTCTTTGTAATCGTATTTATAAAATATTTTTTTGCCAAAAGAGTTGTCAAATGAAACAACAAACAAGAATAGGAAGCGTTTAAGTTTGACAGACAATGAGATCATCTCCCAGTCGTGGCTCTTCTTGTTGGCCGGGTATGAGACGGCCTCCACTGCCATCGCCTTTTGCTTCTATGAATTGGCACTCAATCCGCACATTCAGGATAAGGTTTACGATGAAATACAGGCAGCCATTGACCCAAACGGACAGATGGATTACGATATTCTATCGACACTTCCATATCTGGATGCAGTCATATCCGAAAGCCTAAGACTTTACCCGCCATTCTGTAGAGTAGAGCGCGAAGTGAAAAGTGACTATCAGTTGGCGGACACAGACATCACATTAAAGGCCGGGGATTTGGTCCACATATCGATATATGCTGTCCATCATAACGAAGAATATTTCCCAAACGCCCAAAAGTTCATTCCGGAGCGCTTTCTGGCCGAGAATCGACACACAATACAACCCTATTCCTACATTCCCTTCGCCGTCGGCCCCCGAAACTGTGTTGGACTCAAACTGGCCTTAATGGAGATGAAGGTGACGGTGGCCAACGTGGTCAACATGTTTAAGCTCGGGGTCACCGCTCGCACAAACATTCCTCCTAAGTATATACCAAAAACTCATTTATGTGTTTCGGAACCTCTTATTGTTAGCATTAAAAGTAGATAAATGTTTTGTCAATACATTAAACATTAATAATAAAATGCTATGAAATGCGTGTATAGTGTGTATACAATAGTACTGATGCTTCGTATGGCGAACTGCAAGGGACGGGAAGTTACAAACTTTATTCAAAGTTTTTAATGAATTCAATACAATCCAGACATTGATTGATATGATTACTAATCATTGATTAGTTAGTGATTTAATGAATAGAAGTGATAGCGAAGACATACAATACATGCAAACATGTAATAATGGGTTTCAATTCATATCAAATAATATCACTGTTTGGCAAATAATGTGATCACAAATCGCGAGATTTTAAACAATAAATTGCATTTAAAATGAGATAAAACTCGAATTATTTAAACTAATTGTAGACTTCGTTAACAACACAACGGTTTTCAGTTTCCGAGTCTTTAGATTGAATTTCACAAAAATGTCATCTTTTATATCAGTAATGATTGTCTGTTTGATTGTCTGCACTGAAGTGCTGTCATTGAATGGCACTCAAGAAGAATATTCACTATTGAGACCCAATTCGTCGAGTCTTTCGAAGACTTCAAACGAAACTCTATTCAAATATTACGACCGAATGCTAACCGAAGTCCTAAACATTCGCATGAATTTTCCGGTCACTAGTATTATCATCAGTTGTCTCGTCATCGGGTTCTTCGTGGGTCTCATCTTTGGCTGCGGTTGTGGTGTATGTATGGGTGCCCTCGCCTTCAGTGACCCCGAAGTGGAGGTTAGAGATCGCAAACAAATGAAAGCGAACCGTAAATGTGGTCGAACTGGAGTTCAGGACACTCGACAACGATGTGACTGTCAGTCTCGGGCCACTAGTGAGCAAATATCGCAATCACTTCCACTCCAAATGGTTATACAAAATCAATGTCAGGTCCCGACCACTGCAACGGGTAGTCAACCGCCGCCTCCCGTCTCTCCCAATATCCCAATGATTGGATCGCAACTCGCGATGCGTCCGAAGTCACCGCTGTCTCTGCCATTGCCTCCGCCCCCGGGCTTCGCAGTGACTGCCCCTCGAAGACTCCCTCCGCCCTTAGGATTCAGGACTCGGTCTCTATCTCCACAACCAAAGAACCCCTTCGGAGGAGGAGGTAGTGGTCGTGGAAGAGGTGGTACCGGAAGATAATTCTAGACACCATTTCTACACATTTGTCTGTGAATTCAAAATTCGTTCATTTCATGCGTTATTTGATTGATATTTCATTCATTTCTAATCACCAAAAGATTTCTACATTTGAGCCTCGATTTCGTCTAAATTCCTAATTTTTATTACTTTATTGTCTGTGAATTCAAAATTCGTTCATTTCATGCGTTATTTGATTGATATTTCATTCATTTCTAATCACCAAAAGATTTCTACATTTGAGCCTCGATTTCGTCTAAATTCCTAATTTTTATTACTTTTGTTTTTATTTAAATATAACTTCATTTGAAATTCAATTCATTAAAATGTATAAATAGTAATGTAATCAGAGGTAAAGCCTTTATAATAGCCTTTCTTTCTTTTACTTTCATACCATTTCACAGGCCTTTGTATTTCAATACAAACTTTATTCCTAAACAATAAATTCAATAAAACACTATAAAAGCAACGAATACTTGCGGTGAATACAATTTACAATAAATTATACCACATTTACAGCAGACATACACAAAAACAGCGTATATTTCAAATTAAATCATCGCTCAAGTCATTAGATTAGTTGCAAAAATATATGATTTCCATAAATATATAACAAAAAACATACAAAACTGTTGCTATGCTTTTGTATGAGTAGAAACTCATGTCCTTTAGAAAATAGTTATCATGAATGAAATAAAGCGAGAGAATGAGTGTATTATATAATAAATCAAAGCCAAACACCAAACAAAGAATTAATTATAAATTATTTATTATTTCAAATAAAATTCAAATTATTTGCACGGATTTGCGGTGAGAGAGGAAAACAAATGTTCACTAAATCGTAAGGCATTTATCGTTATTTACAGTTAAATACGACGAGAAATGCATTTAAAAATCCATTTTAATCGTTAAGCATATCATTTTCGGAGTTATTTTACATTCATTTTACTTGTTTTTAATAATAAGTTAAATATATTTATTCGTAAAAATACAGAAACAATAGAAGGAAAAAATTGAAATCAAGTTTCGGAATCATATTTACTGAATATTACAAATCAAATATCAAACGGAATAATATAATCGATTTTGAAAAAAGTTAGCAAATATTTGCGTGGATTTTGCATACAATTTGAAAGAAAAATTAAAAAAACACAAATTAAATGTATAGAAATATCAGAGAGAAGAGAGTATAACACATAAGAAAAGCACACTTTAATTGTTTGGCAATTTTGTAGAGTTGTATCTAAAAAATTCAATATTCTTAATACTAATTGCATTTTACCCTATGATAGATCTGTTAGAGAAGGGGAGACACAAGCAATTAATCAATCAAATCATTAAATCAAAATGAGTGGTCATTATGTAATGATAACTTACAACTAGGAATTGAATTGGTTTCGAATCGCTTCTGGATCTGATCGTAAGTGAATTTCACAAAAGTCTCGTATTGTTCTGTGGGATAGACATAGACAGCAATTAGGCATTAAATAAATGGATTAATTAAAGGATAAAACAAAAGTGTGACTCAAATACCGGCTAATTTAGTGTTGAGGACGTCGTCGTATTGTTGCCTAATTTGAGTCTCCCTTTCCTTCAACACGCGCTCACATATGAGCCCCACTTGTCTGAACGTGAAGAGCGGCGCATCACGTCTTGACGGCGACAACAGACCAATCGATGTCGCGCTCACCGCTTGACTCTCATGGGATGGCGACGAGAACCCACTGTAAAGGCAGACAAAACATTACAAATACAATCAGTTTAACCCTTATCTCAAACAAAAGTACAATTAATTAGAAAAACAAAAAGAAAATCATTAAATTGAGTGCTTTTAATGGTATTGTTTTGTTGAGCAAAACAACCAAATCCTATATTATGGGTATTATATCACAAATAGTAACAAATACTTAAATAAACTAAAATGATTGACGACTCAATAGTAGTCAATAGATGGACAGCAAATGAGTACATCTATTGTGACTATAAATCAATTTAGAAACAAAGACAAAAAGTAAAACAAAATGGAGGCAAACATAGGACGGAATGAATGAGTTATATATAGAGACAATTGAGAGGTGTATTGAAGAGGAAGTGGGACTAACTCTTGAGAACTTGTGGGCGACGGCGGATGTCCTGCATATGAGCTCTCATTGGAAGTACTGGTCGGCGAAGAGGTGTGAGAGGCGTGTAATTTCTTGCGGTTATATAAACGGCGCATCTCTTCCCGAATGCTGACCGCTATCTCCTCTGCAAAAGAAACGCAAATGAAAGACAAAACAATGGTTAAAATGAGATCATTGGAAGCAATCGTATAGGAAACAAACAATGGTTTACGGCATTCAAAATGCATACCTGAAGACAGTTTTGGCTGAACGTCACCGAAGACTGAGGTCTTGTCGGGTATTTGGGGAGTCATGAGAGCGGAAAGACAGCGCCGTTTGGCGGCCCTCTGCTGGCCGTACGTATGGGTCGTGTCTTTGTGTTGGTTGTTGTGAGCGGACGGCGGAGACATCGATGGGTCCGTCCACTCGAGCGGCCGCTTCAGTGTCGCGCAGGCCATCACTTACAGCAATACTAACGACAATTAGTGGTCAACCGATCGGCGGATGTGTCTCACGATAGGGCGAGAGAGACGGACAGAGAGGCAGAGCTTTTGATCGCTAGTATTGATTAGAAAGCAGTACTAATGAGTACTACGACGACAACAGTGACGGCCAACCAATGGATCAATACTCGCGATCAATGGATCGATTCAGTCGAGTGATGGCTCAGTAGTGGCGAAGACAACCGATTCGCTGCGATCTGTGGCCCAAACTCAACGAAACTCGCAAATGATTTAATGTAGAAATGAAACGAAACACTGATTTGCGATCCAATCACTCAATGCTTCTCAACACTACTGCCAGTCGTATGTATTGCTCACTATTACTGACTCTCTCTCTGTATTGTATTGTAAATGAGTTTTCTCTGCAACAAAATGACCGTTTGTTTACAATCACTCAAAGGCTAAGAGAAATACAAAAAAACCTTTAAATCTCATTCACACGCAACGCATACACCCATACACTCACTCAACACTGTGTTAACTCACGCCCAAACACTTCGGCACTATTTGTAACAATGAGTGCTATTAGTAATGCCATTCATTTCTATGCCTCACGACTAGCGATAAAAAGTACCGATTTGTGTATCGAAAGCACTCGAAAGTACTGTACGTTTCCAACAATAAGTGTCGCATATTTAGCGCCAGATGTCGACGTTGTTAACGTCATTCTGATTGGTCAGCGTTTGGCTAACACTATAACTGACACTGCGTTCAATTGGTTGCGAACTTTATGTCCACTCTTTGTGTGAAACAAACAACAAAAGTACACAAAATTGTCATTTGATTGTAATCTCCGATAAAGTCGTCCATTAATTGTGAGTCCGATTGAGTGGACGGAAAGTCTATAATCTATAATCGCTATAACGAGAGTACACTATAACCCCTGTTAAGTGTACACTATATACAGCACACGTACTGTACTGTAGTATTGCCAACAGTTATTGACATCATTTTTCCAGTGAATTGTGTGATCACGTGATTGCATACCAAACTTGAGTCAAACGCCATTTGCATTGCGATTATAAGCGAGAAATAAGAGAGTATTTAATACTGATTTTCAATTGAATAAATCAATTGAAATTATGTCTAATCATTGAAAACATTAATTAAAAACAACCGATTCGTCAGTCGTCTCATCGATTGCT